CCATCTCTAAGAGTTGCCAAAGTCCTAACATATTCAGCATTGCTGAAAAGTCCAAGTCCCAAGTCTCTGAGATTTAAGGTAAGCTCTTAGCTGCAAGCCCCTATACAAATGAAAAGAAAGTTAAAGACTTCCAACATTTAAGTACTGTAGTTCCATGTCCAGAATCTGAGGCAATCTGTGGCAAAATGTGAACTCCAAAGGGCTCAGGTGGCTGTGCCCTTATGGTACTGCCAGAGGTTGTAGCTCCCATGGGTCCTCTCTTGGGCCAGCTCCGATCCTTCCTTGAAGTTTTCCTCAGACGATCCACGTTCTTGGCTTTTCCAAACTTCTGCGGTCTCCGTGGCACCTTTGGCTTCACATTCACAGCTTTACATGCTATCCTATCAGGGGCACACTGCCTGGCCTCCCAGGCCTCCTTCTAAAATCTGGGTGGAAGCCTTTCTGATCCCACAACTCTTGCATTCTGCATGCACCTAAACGCAGTACCATGTGGATGATGCCAAGGTCTGCTGCCAGCTGGAGCAGTAGCCAGGCTTCCTTCTCTCTTGGCTATAGGGGTCCAGTGCCTATGAACCAAATCCCAAGGAACAGCTTCCTTAGGACACTGCCATTCTGGAATGTGCTCTGGAATGCTCTGGGGCTCTCTTCTCAAAGCAAAATCTTTCACCTTTGCAACTCTGAGGCTACAAAGGTTGGAGTCCTGCTGGTCTGTTTTTTTTTTTACCCGGGATCGAACTCAGGACCTTGCCTTGCAGAGCAGGTGGTGGCATCACTGAGCTAAATCCCCAGGCCCCTGCTGGCTCTTATGATATCCTCAGGCTATCTTTTCTGTTGTTCTGAAATACTTGGCTTTTTCTTGCTAGTCTTTTCACCGAGCAGTTTCTCCTCTGTTCCATCTTTGTAGGCCACAAGTTTACTGGAACTTCCTTTCTGGCCAAACTCAGAATGTTTTAAATCATTCTGCAGGGCTCTTTGCTCTTTACTCTCAACATAAATCTGGCAAAAAGCCCCCAACAGTAGCCATTCCACTGCCCTTAATCTCAGTCTCAGACAGAGTCTCTGGACACAAGAAAAATGCAGACAAACTTTCTGCCAAGCCATAACACACATTGTCTGAAGTCCAATAGCCTATGCAGTCCTTCTTTGAAGCAGAAACCTACTGAGCCTGTTCTCTACTGGCATCATTTCTATCAGCATTATGGTCTTCTGAGCTCTGACCAGAATCTTCCATCAAGTACAGCTTAAGACATTCCAGGGGTGCTTCTTCAGCCAACATCTCCACACCTTTCCAAACTCTTCCCACAAGCCAGTTCCAAAGGTTCCTGAACCACATGGTTAGGTACAATCACATCAATGACCCCGAACTCCTGGTACCAAAATCTGTGTTAGTTTTCTTGTTGCTGAGACAAAATACTTGCAACCCAAAGTTAAAGGAGGAAAGGTTTATTTGCCTCATATTTTGTAGAGATTTCAGTCCATAGTTAGATGGTTCCAAGGCAGGGTGGCATGGCAGGGGGTGGGGTGGGTAGAAATAGTTCATGGAGGCAGAAGGCAACAAAGTAGCATGCAGCAAGTGACAGCAAGCCACCTAAAAAATGTTTTGTAAAATATTTGATAAAACTTTCAAAGTAAGCTCTGATTGGAAGTTCTGAATAAATACTATCAGAGGTTCCTGTTTACTCGAGAGTGAAAAAATTATCTTCTCCTGTTACTCAGATTGTTTTAAATGGAATGTCTCTAAGTTTAAATAATCTTTCCTCATTTGTTAACTGTTGAGACTTACTGATTGTTTCAGAAGAACTGTTAGCCTGACACTAATTTTGTCATAAAGGCGCATAATGACAGAATATTTGGAATATTTAGAATATTTCTATTGGTAAATTAATTTTATGAGTTTTATTATATTAAAGAATGAGTACTTAACAGGAAAAAATCAAAAATTATTGAATTTTTAATATTTAGCAAGTGTTTATAAAAACATTTTCAGCATCGACTTTTGTGGTGTACAGTCTATAAAATAACACAAATAAATTCTTATATGAACTACAATGAAAATAACAATGGCACTTTACAAAAAAATCTTTATTTCAATTATCACACCTAAGGTAGTCTGCACACATGACAACAGTATGTTCCATACCCACGTATTGCTTATACTGACAGTACATGTGTTTTGCTTTCCTGGCCCTTTTTGTGGGACATACCTGACATCCCACTGGTCTTGCTGTATTGTCAGGAGTTTCTTGTACAGTGGGTAGTTAACAGGAACATAAAATATTAATAAAATAAAGTATTAAATTCTTAATATGTATTGTGTGTTGTTTAGAATAGACATCAACATTTTCACATCAGCTGTGTACTTGCTTACAAAACCTAAAAGATAGCATCAGAAATAAAAACCTATGTGAACTACAAACAAAAGTCTACCACAGGAATAATCTTTGCTTCAGCTGTCACACTCAAGGCAGTCTTTACACATGACAACTGCATGTTTGATACACAAGTATCACTTAAACTGATAGCCACATATGTTTTGTTTTCCTGTCCTTTCTTGTAAGTCATGGTTGATATTTTTTTGGTTTTCCTATTATTGCAGTAGGTCTTTGTAATGCTGCGCCTGCCTACTCACCTGTTGCTCACCAGTGTGGTCCACAATTTTTTTGTGTATTCCATGGGCAGAAATATTCCTCTACTTTAAGTGACCTCTTATGAGTTCCAGTCCCAGTCCTTCAAGAAAATTTCCCCATGATATTTTGCACTTGGTATTTTCTTTGTAAACTATCAAACTATTTATGCCACACATGTTTAGGATCGACAACCATTGGCCAATGCTTTGTGCTTTGAGTGACATCATAGTTGCCGTATAACTCCATCAATAACATCTACTCCACCTTTGGTTTTGTTGTAGAAAGGTTCCATCCCATGCTTCTGTTTTGTCAAGGTTTCCCTGTCAGTATTTCTGTCATGGCACAATGTTGACATCAGCAGTACCAGTTTGCTTTTTCTTTGCCATATACTTGGCCAATGTAAGTCTTTCTGAAATTTGAAGATTGTACTCTGCAGTTCTCTGTTTTGAAATTGCAACATTTCATTTGGAATTTCTGCTTTGTTGCTGCATACAGTTCCTGCTGTGGTCAACTTGTGCTCTGTTAGCATGTGTAACATCAGTTAGAAACTGGTAAACCAATTTTCCAATGTCACATTCTGATTAGTTTGGTAAATGGGAGCAACAAGTCTGTTCACAACATCATTCAGTTTATTACTATATGAATAAGGACCTGATGGCTGAGTGTCCAGGATAAATGTCTAAATTGAAAGCATAATAAGTCCTCCCATCTCTGAGGGCATAAATTTTTAGGCCATATTTTGCCCCATTGCTTTTCCATAAGTCTTGTACATTCCTGCGATTACCATGAGAAATCCCTGCTAAGTACAACAGACCTATGAATGTGTTTAGTTTAGCTAGTGAGGTGTCATAATAAATACATTTTTAAATATGGCTGTTGGTACATACAGAACGTTTTACTTGTATTTCAGCCTCTGTGTATTTCACAGCATCTTGTTACATTTTATCTGTTACAGTTTCAAATATTGAATGGCAATGCTGACTTTCTGTCGAATACATTTCACCCCTGTCAAGACCCTCACTATATTTGCAGACCTGATTCTAACACTGGATCATTCTATTTGGTTGCATGGCCATTTTGCAACATTTCGATTAGTCAAATATGTACTCCCACTCCCATTGCTGTTTTCTTTGTCATCTGAATCAGGGAGGTCCTCATTCCATGTCTGTATCACTTGATTCTTGTTCCGTTTCACTGTCATAGGAACTTTGGCTCACATGGCCAGTGTCAAAGTTGTCGTTGTCGTCATCATCACCATCATCATCACCATCATCCACCCACACCACTCTTCTGTTATGAAAACATGTATTTACCATAATGGACCATCTTCATCATCCATGCATGAATGATCTGATGATTCACTTTTGACCTCCTTCAAAACATGCAAATCTGGCTTTTCATGTGCCATTGTACTGAATTGGGCTACTTCTACCAGAAAAACCAAAAGAAGACTTTTTTTTTTTTAACAAATCCTGGAGTTGTATGGGTCTCTTGGACTCTCTGTGATACTTGGGTAAACGTATGCAAAACCAGATAGATGGAGCATATCTTAGGTAAAATCCCATTTTGCCACTTTTGCACAGGTGTATACACCTTGCCATTCATCATACCAAGTAGTTAACATATAGATTGCTTCCTGTATTCCTCAGGGAAAAGTACTGAGACGCACAGCTGGCTACTATTATGCTAAAGTACAAATTTACAGTGGAAGATAAAGGATGGGTCCGCTGGACCCAGCATCATACTCGGTTGGTCAGGTAGAGGGGGAACTTTGGAGAAAAGGAGAAGAGAAAGGAGTCGTGGAAGGGCAGTGTAAATATGTAGCAAACCATATTTAGGTGAGCAGTTGAGATTTCCTGAGTTGGTGCAAAATGTTCTGGTTCTCACCAAATAGTATACAGAAGTTACTGCATTGCTAAAAAGTTCTGAGTTAGAAATCACACAAGAAATATTCTTTAATGAATTAATTTATGTACATGGTTTATTATGTTTTGGCAACTAAATCTGGCCTAGAATAACCAGTTTGCAATAAAAGTGTGTATAGGGATTTGTAGCATTAAAATCTTGGGAGCTGAGCAAGAATGTGAAGTGTGTTTTATTGTTACAGCAGGATAGTTTTGTCCTTTGGAGGTAAACCAGCCAGGAGACACATGATTGGTTCTGAGAGCCACCTTGGCACGCTGTGACGGACTGTGCCACCTGGGCCTTGCTGGTGGCTCCTCAGTCCGATGAACCTGGTGGCCATCTCCAGTGCCTGGCACGGTCTCCTGGCCTTGGCAGCATGGCTTCCTCTCCCGTCACCCTCTTATGCAGTACTTGGCTTCCAGCTGCCGAGTCCTGTCCCTCACCAGCCCCTCTGGTTTTGATTGGCAGTATCACCCTGACAAGCAGAGCACAGCTGCGTCGGCAGGGACACCAGAGGAGTGCCTGCAGAAGTTCATCGAGGTGGATCAGGCGTGGAAAATTCTGGGGAATGAAGCTGCAAGGAAAGAGTATGACCTGCAGCGGCATGGTAGGTCCTCAAGGCCCAGCCACTAGGGGGCGCTGGCAAGCCTTCACCCCAGCTCATTGTCCCCTGTCCTCCTCCAGCCAGCATGTTTTTAATTTTTTTAATGTTAGGCATTATTCTTGGTAGCGACGTCTGTTGGGAAGCTAACAGAACCGCTAGGATGCAGCTCCTTGTGAAGCTATGTGAGCTCCTTTTTTTAGCTGCTAAATATGTTTATGCATTCTGAATTAATATGCTTTCCATGTTTCCAGCTCTTCATCGAATCTAATTCTGTACAACTGAATTGGTAACGGTAGTCCTTCTGAGACCGCCTCCTGTAGAAAGGGCAGTCTCGGCCTCGGCAGGCCCTGGTGGCATGGCGCTCACTGGCCGCCCCTGCTGAGGGTGCGCGCTGCCCGAGCAGTTTGAGCAGAGCTTGTACCCCAGTGACAAGCTGCTGTTTGGAAGTGGGGCAGGAATGTAGGTCAGGTTTGTCACGCATGGACGCAGCTACATGAAGTGATTGGCTTCTTTCAGCGCTGTCCTTGAGACAGGCGTCCCGGCCTTCCTTCTTTGGGACCTTTGGTGTGCACCTGCATGCTAATGGACCCATGGGCCCTCGCTGCATGGAGGGGAGGTGTGGCACAAAGCCCTGGCCCTGGCCCTGGTGATGCGACCCCTCCCATGCCCCGCCTGGGCAGCTCGCTGTCCAGCCTGCATCCGGCCCCAGGAACTGATGGAAAGGCTCCTGCTGCACAGCAAAGGACATTGGATCTGCCCGCAAAGCGTTATGGGGTGGTGCTGACTCTGTTGGGAGAGCATCCCTACTTAACTTTCACAGGAAGTTGTGCCGATCACATGGTTTCTTTTGGTTTGATACTTGTGTGTGAAAAGACTTAGGGAGCTTTGTGTATGTACTGGAACATATTGATGTTAATAGTGATGGATTCATACTACTAGTCAGCTTAAGGCCCTTTTACTTTCAGAAAGGCTGATGAGTTTTTTAAACAAATTTGAAAAACCTGCTGAGTGTACCTTTTGTGGTTTTCGCATTGATGTTCGAGTATGGCTTGAATAGGGCCTTCTGCTTGCCATTCGTTCGTCTGGGAGAGAAGGTAGGGAGGGTTTCATTCATGAATATGCTTTGTTATAGTTATATCCTTTTAAACAGGGTTCACAAAAAAAATCAGAATAAGCTGGGTTCCCAGGTCATAGCTTCTCTGAAAGTCCTGACACGAATGCCCACGGACGTGTTGTCTGTGTCTGGATGCCTCGGAGCTCCATGTTCAGAGGCGAGGGCTCTCTCGTGGGGTTTGCACATCACCAGTCACCAGTTTGCATCAGTTCATCATCTCCAGCATGCTGTCCATACCGAGAGGGAGGGTGTGTGTTTCCAGAGTCCCGCTGCATCCTGCCACTCCACAGCCTGTGTGCATGAGGACAGTGCCAGTGAAGCCCCTCACTGTGGAAGTTCGCAGTCCAGAAGAGAGGTGTGGAGAGATCACAGACCACCCAGTGTCCTCCTCCCTGAAGCGGCGAGTTGGGTGAGCCAGCAGGGGGAAGACACACAAAACCAGCTTTCAAACCAGCACCGGGTCTGGGAGGGAAGGGTGGGAGGTACTTCAAGTCCAAATGCTGCAGTTATCAAGCAGAAAGGGCTTGGGGCCCTGAGTTTCCTCCCCTCCTGCAGGGGATTGGATCCAGACCTGATGTGTACCCCCAACATTTTTTAGGTTTTATTTTGAAACAGGGTCTCAATATGTTGCCCTAGCTGGCCTGGAACTTTTGATCCTCCTGCCTCAGCCTCCCAAGTAGTAGCTGGGCCTGCAGGCATGCATCACAGGCCATTGATGAGATCACAGTGAAATCTTGCCGAGCCATGAGCAGTGAGAGCTGCTTCATAATGCGGGTAAACAGTTGGGATTTCCATAATGGCAGGTCACTTTGCAGGTTGTTTTCAGAGGGATATTACTGAGTTGAGTCATCCTAGAGCGGAGGGCAGTAGAAATACAGCTCTCCAGGGTGCTGTAGTACCCTCCTGAGTTTGGAGCGTGTCCTCCTTCGCCGAGGCCCGAAGTGCTGAGTGCCGAGTGCTGAGTGCTGAGTCCGGGTTCTCCTTGGATATCTACCTCAGCGAAACAGAACTGCTTTCAGAGAGCTCACAATAAACCTTCTTTCATGTTGTCCCTCTGAATATTGATATTAATTTTTTCTTGAGTCATCTTCAATAAATGGGTCCTCACAAAAAGGAAGTGAACTTGATCTTGTAGCAGTGGGATTTAGGTTTGAGGGAAGAAAGAGCTCTGAGAGTGGTAATTTGTTAAAGACCAGGGTGGTTGGCCGAGAACCCAGAGAGAGACTTGTTATAACCAGGTCAGAGCACTGTCTTTCTGGGTCACCCCTGGGGACGTGGACACAGTTTTGTACAGGGAGCTCTGTCTGCGCGTACGCAGTGACGGCTCACTGTGAAACTTCCCGTAGGGTGTGCTTGAAGTAGGTTTGTTCCCTGCCTGCCATGAACTTGCCATCCAAAGTAAGACCAGCCCTGCAGCACCAGCAAGGAGGTAGGCGGGCTTGCCTGCTGCTCTGGAGCCCTTTCCATATTCCCAGCTCACTGTGGTGCCCTGTTCTGAGGAAAGCCCAGTGTTAGTGTTGCCCACAGCCACGGGATGATCTGGAAGAGTTGAAAGGAGCGCTTGACATCTGTGATGCTTTGCTTCTCAAAAGAAATAATCAGAGGGTTAGAGTCTGGGCCAGGTGACCTCAGGTAAAATACATATGTTTTTCTCTCTTGGGCAAGGCTGGCCAGGCTAGAAAAGAGGAGGATGCGTAATGTTTGGTTCCCGGAGAGCAGGAATTTGAAGGCAGTGCTAATAGAGAATTGGCTCAATTAGTTCCAGTTGGCATATTTGCCTTATTGTTTCTGAGGCTGCTGCCAGTGTCTCTGCAAAGCACCCAGCGCTGCACTTCGGCTGGAGGACCACGGTGGAGCTGCCAGGACTCGGCGCACGTTCACATGCAGGGGGGCGGGATGGCCTGTGCCTTTGTGAGCCGTGCGTAAGCGTGTTCCAGAACACATCACAAGTGTGCCGTGGGTGTAACAGGGCCGTGACAGATATCTCGGGACTTCTCGGTGGCCTCATGGTGCGGCACAACCGATGAGTCAGCCACTGCTGCGCCCTGAAGAGGAGCAAACCTTCATGCGGTTCTGTGTGAGCGAGAATGGAGTGAGCTTGAAATCCTTGCCAGTGTTTGATGTTAATGCATCTTGTCATCCTGCCGATGTCTGACTCCCCGCTTTCTGCCCACACCCACAGCAGCCTGGTCGGGAGCCTTGGTCAGACCCCCAGGGCGAGTGGCCTTTGTTGACATGCAGGCCATCACTGTGCCATGTTGTAGAACCCACCGCACCCTGTAGTAGGATAAGTATTGGATAACAGAAGACCAGGAAATCAGTCTCAGGCCAAGGGAAGACGGTATCTGAAAACCCCACCACCCTTTATGTGTCAGATAATTAAACCAGCGTATCATTGCTTAAGCTCATAGTTAGAATTTCCCTGAAAAGAATGAAAGACCAATTAACACTGTAAGAAAGGGAAATAACATACTTGTAAATGTAAATAATATGGATAACAGAGTGGCGACTTTAGGCCAGGTGACAGCTGTGTAAAGTATGTCCTAAAGCTGACCCTTACAAAACACTTGAATTAGTTAGATCAGGGTTTCCTTATATGGTCATATTAGCATTTCCATTTGATTTTTAGGAATTTCAAAATTGGCTGTAAAAATTTGCTTCAGGTAAAAACTGGAAGATAAGCATCAAGGGGTCTGCTTTTTTGGTGACTGTTTCTGGGAAAAGTAAGTATGTGAAGTGATGCAGAAAATTTGTGTCGACAGTTGGGATAAATGGTGTTGTCTTGAGGGGGAGAAGAAAGTACACAGAAGACTTCCTTGAGCTTACCCGCTCATCTTGTGTCAGAAGGTGACGCTGCCTACATTGCTTTACTTTGATTAAATGCAAATAGCTTTTTGTAATGACAGTGTATTTCAGGGTCATTTTTATTAATTTTGAATAAAAGTTTGGCTTGTTTCAAACACCACAGGCATTTGTGTGGGCAGGCTCCTAGTGTGATTCTGGTACCCGGGAACAGTTCGGGGCCTCCCTCAGGAAGAGCCGGCCTCTAGGGTCTCAGGACATCGAGTTCCAGCTTTAGCCTCTCTGCCAGTGTCTGCTAGTTGCTTGACCCTTTGGAAACCCAGTGGGTCCAGAACCAAGACCCGGTCACTTTTCTCCCTCAGCCTTGAAACCTGGATTTCCCGCTAGACCTCAGCCACTTCTCCTTCAGTCGGGGGCAGCAGTGGGTCCAAGCCCCGCATCTCCACTTCCAGCTGAGTGCCCGCAGTGCTCCTTGTCCAGGGCTGCTCTGTTGAAGACTCTCCTTAGCCTCCTGAGCTCCCTCCCTGCCACAGCATCCCCCAGGGAAAGCAGCTTTTATGTTGGCCCCATTGCAGACCTACGTGCCCATGGCGCACTGCCCTGGACACCGTGTCGTCCTGGCTCTTCCCCCCGCCGACCTTCCCACGCTGGTCTGACCCCAGGATTCATGGTTGCGAAGCTTCTCTGATTCCTGTCTTCTGCTCTGTGTCTGGTGCTTAAGAGCGGCTAGAAGTCACAAAGATAGACTGTGCCTGATAGGAGTGGGCAACCTGGCTGCAAATCCAGATGGGGCCAAGCGCTGCCTCCGCCGGTCCCGCAGAACTGGGGCCTCTTCTCA